CTGCAGAAGACAATATAGCACATTCATTTCCTTCTGCTCTTTTTTTCCGCACCTCTGCTTCCTCAGCAATGCAAAACAACACAAACTCCCCTGCTTACAGGAGCTTCTGTGAGAAGCTGGAGTAAAATATAACTTCACTTTTGCCTAAAACAGCTTGGGTAAAGATGTCTTGATTGACCCAAAGGTACAAGCCTCAGACCAATGGCAAAACAAAAAGAGATTTCTTTTCTTTGTTAATTCCACTCTACGCTCTCAAGTCTTTAACAAAAAGTAAAAGACTACCGCTTTACAAAAACTAACCCAAGAAAACACTGCCCTCTGCTCAAGAGTTGCCGAACTCTGGTGTCGTCCCAGCCACTACACTCATGGTTAGCCCACTTGGCTCATTGCCTGCCAAGATCCCAGGCCACACCCATTCCCCTGACCATTACCACATTACCACCTCCTCTTTACAGTCTGGTTACGGAAAAATTCAAGGCCCGACTGTGATACGCAGGCTATAAACCATCACAAATGCCAGAAGGCCTCCAGACTGTCAGCGAAGAGTCTGGAAAACTAAGGAAGAGTGAAAAGTTCAAGGGGTTTTGTGGACCGGTCACAGGGCATTATTACCCCTTGTAGCCCTGTTTGCCTGCCCATGAAAAGTGGATATCTTGCTAGCTGACATGGCTGACATACAATGGTTTGGGATTGGGCCCCCATTGACTTTGCACAAGGGACACAAGTGAGGAGTTTTTCCACCAGGAAGTATAGTGGTTAGCCTCACAGCAAGAAGGTCCTGGGTTCAAATCCCGGCTCGGGCAGGACCTTTCTGAGAGGAGTTTGAATGCTTTATCCACGTTTGTGTGAGCTTCCTCCACCATCAGAAGACATGGTTGGGTCAGCACTTTCTTGATCGTAGCATCCCACCTGCCAGGTAAGTAAGAGTTGAAAGTTGAGGGGGTTATTTTGTAAATTGTCATATTTTAATAATAGAATCTGGTTTTTAGGCGATTTCCTTACAAAGCCAGAAACATACTGGAGCTTTTTCTGTCTGAAATTTTCTGTCTAAATGCACCTACAGCAGGCACTATAAATAATGTGTTTTATTAATCTCCAATCAGGGAGCGGTTCTTCTCTGTTGAGGCCCCCGCGCTTGTGCGAGGCACGGCGGGCGCGCGCGCAGCCGGCCTCCCGGCCACCAGCTCAGGGCGAGCTCCTAGTACATTTACTGGGGCTCGTGTGTGAAAAAGCAGCCCGAAAGAGCCTCTCCTTATATTTTTCCTGATTTTAGCACTAAAGAATTGGAACAATCCCCCCTTTCCCCCTCCTTTTCTCAACATGTGTCAGGGTTAGTTGTAAAAAATACACATTTCTCCATTATGTTTTTCCCGTAAAACAGAAATAAAATTTATTTCTCATCTATTCCTTAAACGGACTCACAAGAGTTCTGGATTGAAGTTGATTTATTCATTTTTTACATAGTTTGAACAGATTGACACCCATATTAGAAGATATGGTCTTCTTTCTAAATTGTAATATTGACTCACAACCCATTAACGCTGCTATGAAACTTATGTGTCTTGTTGGCAAATATCATATCCATAATAATAATAAACATATGAACTTATGCTTCACATAAAAACAATAATAGAAGTAAATATATTAAATACAAACAGAATAAATGCCTATGTAAACATGTACTGAACAGACATTGGTGGTGCAACATACTTCAAACAGTAAAACAAAGAAGAAGAAAATCTCTCGTTAGTTCAGTGCTGTCCTCCCTCCGGGGGTTTTAAATGTAGTGATCCTTCGCAATCCATGACACTTAATCATTAACCAGTTTATGATAGTTTCTGTGGGAAATTCTTTTTTAGTGAAGAGTTTTGAGTTTTTTCCTTTTATTATGACACAGAAATTTGTGAGGGGGTTCCCACTGGAGCAAAGGAGGCTGTTTTCTGGGTTAATAAAAATGCATAATATAGTTTTGGCTTAGTCATGTTTTTAATTTGAACTTAAGCTCTGCTTTTACCTTTGCACTTTCTGTATGTTTTGTTGCAACAAACCCATTTATACAATGTATCACAACTTTCCCCACAGCAGACCTTCTGTTCTGTCTCTGTCAGAGTTGAAAATTGACACCCAAAAAGTGCCAAATGGTAAAAAATATATGTATATAAATGCATGAGTACGGACATAAATATGTTGCAATTTTGTGTAAAGTTTAGGTGACACTGACTTCATTTTATAATTTTCATTTGTACTGTGAAAACAAAATATATAGTAAAAAGTACTTGATCAGGAATGTTTCTTGAACTTACACACTTGAGTTTGTGGTAATTAAACTTTTGACGCAGGGGGCGTCCGCAGGTATGAGCTCTGCAGATATGGAGAAAGACTTTTCTCCTGATCATCTTTCTTTGTCCAATTTTCTCATTGTTTCAAGGATAATGGTTTCTGACCACATAACTGCCTACAACAAATCTATTTTGTGTTGTCATTGTGGCAATAGGTGCTTGCAGCGGGGCATTGGTCCTGAGGACGAGGTTGGGGGCCATGGTTCCAGGTAGACACATGCGAACTGTGGCGACGGACATTGGTCTTGGGGATACGATGCAGCGGACAGGCATATGAGCCATGGGGACAGACCGTGGCATGGGGGGCATGATGTTGGGGACAGGCATAGGCATGGGAGTTGTTGGGCTAGACATCTGCATGGGGGGCATGATGTTAGGGAGAGGCATAAGCATGGGAGTTGTGGGGCTAGACATCTGCATGGGTGGCCTGATGCTGGGGACAGGCATAGGCATGGGAGTTGTGGGGATACACATTGGATTGGGGGGCATGGTGCTGGGGAGAGGCATGGGAGTTGTGGGGCTAGTAGTGGGGCTATCTTGTACACTGCAATACTCTTCATCCTGTCTCCTTACAGAAACAGTTTCATATACTTTTTGCAGTATGTTCCCATGCTCGATCTGTAGAGCCCCAGAAAGGATCTGGAAGTTATAAGTGAGGCTTTCATTAATCTTGCAGAAGATGTCCTCATGGCTGTCGGACCTCAGGAAGTTCTTAAAAGCTTTAGTTTGGGAATATTTCACCATCATCGCATTGGCAGAGGCCAGAGTGGTGCTGAGTTCCTTCAGTGCGTTTGCCACAGTGACAGAGACTTGACCCGGACCCCTTTGTTTGATGGTTAGAACCAGTTCTTCTAGTCCTTTGACTCTCTGGGCAACCCGCTGGCAGCGCTCCTTGTTGGCCTTCACATTCTCCGCCTTCTGGTAGATGGTCTTGCATATGGACAAGATGCTTTCTATTAGGCCCAAATCCAGCAATCCTGCCATGATTAGCTGTAGAGAAAATTAGCTTGGAATTAGAATCAGAATCAAAATCAGAATTATGTTTATCGCAAATTAAATGGCAAACAAACAAAACGTTGCACATATTTAAAAGCTGAAGCGAATCAGTCATAAATGCACTAAATTAAAGATCATCTTAATCTGGTAAACTGGGTTGTGTCCATGCAAGCTGAAAATGTTTATCCCAAAACTTCATGACTCCACTTCATAATAGAGGAGCTAGAATTACTGCCTCCACCAACCAGTCAAGTAGTAGTGTACAGACTTATATAATACATGTGGTGAAGGAATTGATTCAAAGGTATTGTGTATGTACAAATATTTTTTGTCTAGTTATCACAAGTAGTGTCACTAACCAACTGTGAAATATGGTCCCAATATCCCCTTCCATTTCTTAAATAACGGCCAAAAACAGGACAGGACATTTATGATGTCACAGTGAAGTTGACATTTTACCTTTTGCATAAAAAATGATCATTTCATCACTGTATCCCATTAAATATCTGTGTGAAATCTTGTCGGGGTATATCAAGCAGACAGAGAACATTTTGATGTGTTAGACGCAGGAAAGGGCAGCGTGAGGATCTGAGCGACTTTGACAAAGGCCAAATTGTGATGGATGACGGGCAGAACAGCTCCAAACTGCAGCTCTTGTGGGGGCTTTCCCAGCTGCAGAGTCAGTACCTATCAAAAGTGGTCCAAGGAAGGGAAAGAAACTGAGACATACGGCATGTGCTTGAGGCTCATTGATGCCGTGAGAGTGAAGGCATGGCCCCGTGTGGTCTAGTCCAACAGACGATATTGATCCTTTCCAACGCCCATTTAATTGACTCCATTGATTCAATACTAAAACCATTGACCTAACCAACTGCAAAACGTCGCCCTAACTGAGGCAGTTTGACACTGAAAGCTCGATACGTGCTTCGAACCCTGAACTAAGCAATTCATAGAACACTGCTTTAAGCTGCTTTGGTGGCGGAAAAAATCACGTGACCAAGATGACGTCGAAAGCAAGCAACTGCTTCAAGGAAGGAAAACAACTGGAGAACAGGGTCATGGGGGGCCCAAGGCTCAGGCGCAACGGGAGTGAAGGCTGGCACTTGTGGTCCGATCCAACAGACGAGCTACTGTAGCTCAAACTGCTGAAACAGTTAATGCTGGTTCTGATAGAAAGGGGTCAGAACACACAGATAATGCTGCACTGTAGGAAAATGTGTATCATTTCCTTGAGTCTTGTCCTGAGTTTGACTATTTCATTCATCACGAAGCTTCAACGCAGAGCTACAATTGGATGACACACAATAAACACTAAAGCGTGGAAAAAGATGAACCCTAAACCTACTTGTTGGGAAAAAGAGGGAAATTGTTCGGCACCTATATCAGTAACTAAACATATTAAACATGATAAATGACGTGGAGTGAAAACATTCCGACGATGAATCAGCCCACAGTCATGAATACTTTCTGCATGCCTGCACAGGAAACAATACAATGTGCAGCTGTCCTGCATCTGAAGGATAAAAGTTTACATTTTACATATCTGTCTTTAAAGAAAAGTGCCCACATTAACATTTAAACAGCTTGTTCCTCCTCCTGTTTATACCGTCCATTAAAAAAGTTGACACGAGGCTGCAGCAGTGTGAGTTGGATAGTTTTTTTTACTGTAATATCCGAAGAAACTCACTATATTTGACTCATTTAGACTTCTAAAGCCTCATATTAGCCTTAGATAAACTTTGTACTTCTGTACAGAATGAGGACTGTGGATTTTGTCCCCCATCAATGAACAGTAACATTGCATTACAAAGGTATATTTTAATGGTAGAAGGAGGAATAAACAGCAAGAAAAAAGATGTTCAGTGTCCATTTTATCACTTAATTATCATTTAAAAACAGACTTTCTCCTACATTAAGCAAAATAAATAAACTATTAATGAACTGGATTAGCGGGAAAAGGTGGTATTAATTGTCATAGAGCTTTTTTGTAGCATTTTTGTAGATTTCTATTTGACAGCAATGATAGACATAGTTAGAATGATCAAAAACACCTACCTTTTGACAAGCAATGTCTGAACGTGCCAGTTAATGAAAATGGAAGTCATTTACTTCTTCTTCACAGGTGTTTTATCTGAAAAATCTGTGGTATCCATGATGCTGTGCCACCGCAGTGTCGCAAACAGATCAACAACAATTAGTTTTTATGTCAAACCTGCTCATCCAGTTAAAGGCAGGAAGAGGCTCAGCCCATTGGCACCAATGACGTGCTCAGGAGCGCTGGCATCTACGAGCAACGTGAGCAGGGAAATCACACTGTTAGGAGTCAGTATCAGGACATCACCTTTCCTAATGCTGTAAAATCTTGTAAAAATGTTAATTAAATCAATCATTAAATCTAAATCTACTGTATATTCCTTATCTGACCAATATGTCGTAGTTACTTTTCTGATTAAGATTTTACATGAACAAAACACATGATAAGCTTGTAAAATACAGCACATTGTTCCCAACTGTTTTTCATTTGTTACCCTGCATAATTAAAGCAACAGCTAAGTGGTTAGCATGCTAACTTCAGTCTACATCTCTGCAACCAAATATAAAAAACATAGTTTTCATCAATACTGTTTCCTAAAATGTAATTTAACATAAGTTTTGCATTTCCTGTAATATTTAGTTTAAATATCCGCCATACGTCAACGATTAGATAAGAGCTAAAATGTGACGACCCGGATAGTGAGTGGAGGTAATTTCCACCAAATTAGCCCTAGTTCTTATACAGAGCCAGTCAACAATAAATATTTTTTCTTTATAGGAATAAATCTCCTGTGTGAACTCTCTGAACAGGGTCGGTCTACGCTGCTGTATTTTAACGTTGGTCATAATGGTGATTTATGGAGAGACTGATGTGTTCTGAGGTGGTACAGTGTAAAAAGTTTGAGAAACACTGGTTTAGATGGAGAAAAGAAGTTTATTGGCATCAAAAAACATAATTTAAACATTGACCTAACCAAAGCTTTTAGCTGAACTGGAGACAATATGTGAAATATCTGGACAGATTAAAGCACAGATCTGTTAAACGAACACCCAGCAACCAGGTGGTTGGATATTTTGTACTTTGATTTGTTATTTATGTTTCTAAATATGGCCATTGATGATCACCTTTCAGTGATAAATAATGAGGTGACCTCCAATGTCTATTGATCAATAAAGCATTTAGTTGCAAGCTCCAGTGCAAGATCACTATCTTTTCCAAAGATGTATTAATAAAAAATATGTTAAGAGAAGTAGAAATGTGGTCACAGCAGCGATCTAGACGTGTGGATGTTCTGCTCTCAGCATCGCGGCCTGCTGGGGTCTGTGTGGAAGAGCCTTTTGAGGACAAGAAGCTGCAGGTATCCGGACAGGAGGATGACAAAGCTTTGGGTCGCCGACCACCAGGTGACGTAGTTGAGGTTGGACAGGAGGAGGTAGTGATCCTTCCCTTTCGTCATGCGGGCGAAGTTGTAATGACGCCACATGTGGAAGATCTGAATCTGCAGCTTCTGAACACTCACCTAAATGGCACACAATATACGTTGTATAGTTTCATGTACTGTATGTCATAGTATGCTAAAGGCTAGAATAATTATGTTTAAAAGTTAATAAGCAGACATGTAAGACTAAATTCTCAACACTATGATTACCTGTAACAAAACAGAACCTGTCTGCAGAAAAAAAAATGGTGGCTGTGCACACAAGCATTGGATATTAAAACGTATGAGAACACATGCATCATGTTTATGTTCTACGCTAGGCTAACAGTTAGTTACTGAGCTTTGCTAAGGATGGCTGAGCATGAGCAACCGAAGACAAAATACGATTCGATGGACACCCCCTTGCCTAACTACCTTTTTATAAAGTGAATTAACTTGTTGAAGTCTGTGTACTGTCAGTATATTACAAGGATGGTGCTATGGGCACATTTTTGTTTCTTATCTTGGTTCTTTGCGAAACTGAGAAATATGTTGGCAAATGTTCCACTTGACACATGTATTCCCTTTATCAATACTGTTAATAATAAAAAATAATATAAGTCAATTCATCTGCTTATTTTAATTATGCATCATTACAAAAACCAATGAGACACAGTGAGAAACAATAAATCACATATAATAATAACTAATATTCATTTTAGAATCACATTGTAGTCCTCTGAATCAGATCAAATCATTATGTACCTAGAGATACCCCACCCCCCCCCAATAGGTTTAATATACTGTATTATAGGTGTATATACATGTATATATGTAATATAACATTGCAGCCCTTGCAGAAATATTCATTTCATATTTCTCTTTATGCAGATGACATTTTATTGTTTTTTTGATAATAGTTAAACACGTTATGCAGAATTGAGACAAATACCTCAATACCGGCCAAAGTGCTGTTGAGGACTTTCTCTCCCTCCTCCATTTCTTTCTTTGACTTCTCAAAACCTTCGTAGATGACGCCAAAGTTCAGAAAGACCCTGATGCCTCCGAACTGGTTGTTGTGGTTCCCAAGGCAAATCCGGTAAAAACCTGTTGGGAAGAAACTGCAGTTACTACAGAGATGATATATAATTCTTGGCTATATCTGGAGAGCTTTTTATAATGGTCCTACCTGTCACCTCAGTCTGAAAGTTAATTTGACCGACAGCCTTGTTCTTGGACACAATGAGAATGCCCTGTGGTGAGTTGACTGTCACAAAAAGCCGGTGATCATTGGCCATCCCTGTTACCCACTGCACCTGTGGAAACATACACATTAAACAAGTCAACAAATCCCAGGAAAGGTCCAAAAATGTATCTACTAATAACTAGGGATGGGCTTCAAGTAATTTCCTTATTAAAGTACTTTCATTTAATTATTATTGAGTACCCGAATTAACGTAAGAATAGGGTACAAAATGAATGCCCAAGTGAAACTGTGGGTGGGGTCAGGGTTATCCTACATTTCTGTGCTGCAGCGACTGTAGAGATTAGCCAATAATTAAATAATTTGGCTGGTAAAAAAGCTGTGGCTGCTTTACTTTTTATAATATAAACAGTTAATTTTGTTCAGCACTTTGCTTTAAACCCTCAATTTCACCGCACTTTCCTCAAACATCCTCTCCGCTCTTGTAGTTGTCGTTCAACCTCGATGGTAGTTTGTAATCCGGCTCAACAATAAGCTCATGGAAGTCTCCCCAACTTACTCAAATCATTTACTTGTATTTCTTATTGCAACACAGAAGAAACAACAATGAATTGGTTTCAGGTGCAAGTGCAGTACATTTTTATATATTTTGGGGTTTAATGACAATCCATAAAATTATAATTAAAACCCAGGGTTAGATTTGGCTCTTTTATTGGACCTGTGGATTGGTAATATCCGTCCCAATTTTCTAATAACTCCATTTGTGTTCTAAATCATTTATTCATCATTATTTCATCACCAACATTTATATTTAAGCTCAGAAGTTACATAAGTTAAACTTAAAAACTCCTTATCATGAAAGCTGCTATTTTGGGCCCGGTTTGTGGCCTTAAGGGACAAGAACTTCCAGCCAGCCTTTGAAGAAACTGGAAATCCCAGATCTCCAGTTGGCCCACCAACTCAACATACCTGTCAGCACATGGTATGTGGTCCCGTGGGACTATAAGAACACTAATTAACAACAGATCCCTTGTTTAAAGTCAACTGGATTCCACCTTGTTGGAACAGTCAGTGTGGGATAAGCATGAGGACCAAATGGCACCAAAAACACCAAGAAACATATCTGACTTGTGGCAGTCCAGTTCATGCCAGTACTTTAATTTACCAAACATATTAATCTTTGCCGACGAGGTGAAACCAAATCCCTGCAGGGTTTCAGGGGAAAATTCTCCACCATGTACCATCAGGGTAGAACCTTCCACTCTGGTGGGGCAAAGGTGGCCGAAACACTCCATCCCGGCAGAAGGAAACAACGGGCAAAGTCCATATTTTTCTGATCCCCTAAATAACCTGCATCCCCGCCTCATTGAATGGAAAGGGTTAAGAACTTCCTGGCCCAGAACGCACTGGAAGAACTCAAGCAAAAACATGAAAGCAAGAGTGTTCAATCAGCATGACTGCCAGTTTCACTGCCGGACGGAGAGCATGAAGGGACCTGCTGGCTTGCCTTCCTGTTTGGGTTCTTTAGATATCAACTGGGAAATAATGATTTAACCCCATCTACAACCTCGGGACACAGCACTGTAGTTGATAACATATCAAAGTGTACATCCAAACACAATACCATGCACTGGTTTGTGGGAAGGTGAAAAAATGAGAACCATCCAATGGATAAAAATCAGTATTAAGATTACAAATCCCAGTCCATAATTGGGTACCTATTTTAACAATGTAAGCCCAATTTTTGTTTTACAAAAACCCAAAACATGGCCAGCCCATCTCTCCATGTTTCCACGCATGTCCCACAATTTACGCATTTTCAGCCCCTGTGTGCTGTATACAAAAATGTGTGAAAAACCAAAGAGGGTGTTAGCTCTCAGTTGCGGTTCGGGCTTCTGTATAAAATGCTAATGATTTACGTACATTTAAAACATAAAACATTTTTTGAGAGAGAACAAAGCGAATGTTGAAGGGGTTTCTTGGAAGGAAAAGAGGGGCGGGGTTTACTGCAAAATTTCTTGACTTCCTGTAAGTGACTGCCACATTCCGGCCAGACAGGGTAAGTTAAGGTGGCATCAGAAGCAGGTGGGTTGCATAAGCAAGATGTTATCATGCATGTTGTAAAATTTGTTGTCATTTGGTCTTATCCATTATAACTTTAAAACTAAGTCTTCCTTATCCCAAGAAGCAACTTTTCTTCCATAAAAATGAATCCAGTTTCATAAAAATCACACTGGAATAAAGGTGTGTTGTGTCCCCATGCTATTACATAAACAATTGGGTTTGGAATTATAAAAATATAAAGCATTGAAGTGGTTGTACATTTACTGGGCATACATTGTTAAAATAGGGGTACAAATATCTAAACCAAGAAATGACAATCTTAAAAGAGTTTAAAAAGACTTTTCCTTCCTTTTAACCTGGACTTCCACAAGGTGTTATGTAAAGTGTTTTTGGCCAAAAAAGCCTTAAGTCTTGAGAGTTTTTGTGAGCTTTTGTTTTGTTTTCTGGTAAGCAAAAAAGTTTCCAAACTCTAGCTAGCCCTAAAATGTACCAGCATCATTTGGCAAAATTAATTCTGTAAGCTATGTTAAGCAAAACATTTGATGTAGACAGGCTTACCTTTAAGATGCCACTACATCATCTTCTAACCCCTCTTCAAGTGTGGGTTGTCGCTCTTAACATAAGAATTTGCCTTAGCATAGAATTTTCGCATAGGTATTTTGAAACCGATGTTGGGCATGAAACGGGCTTGGGGAAGTGTGTCAGAGGAAACCTAACCGGTGGCTGAAAAAATCAATAAGGGTCCTATCCTATATCCAGTGGTAAAATACGGACTAATTCTAAACGAAAAACACAACAAGTTTCTTGTATTCAGGTGATTATTACCAAAAAGATATGCTGTTTCATAAGAATCACATTTTATGGTATTTCTTTAAAGAAGATCCAAATCAGGTGTTAAGGTTTTTGGTATTTTTTTGTTCTTTTATGTGTAAAAAGAAACCACCAAGCACAACAAACACAATAACCAAGAAAGAAAACATGGCCAGGCAAAGCTTTTTAGTTCCCCCATCATTCGTGGCTGCCACCAGATTTGAAATCTTTTTAACACTGGAACAATTCTGACTGTAAGCCCCGTCTATCAGCACCCCCGGCTGGGGCTTTCTCCGTCCTCGGGTGCCGTTTTGGTGACAAAAAGAGTCCTTTTGAGGAAGAGCAAGCTGCAAGGTAGCCCGAGGTTTTGAACGAATGAGGGAGGCCTGAAGGCCGTCGACCCACCAGGTGGGATTACTCTGCAGAGTTGGGACAGCAGCAGGGAAGTAGCTCGGCGCTCTTCCCTCAAATGCCGGGCCGAAGCCTGTAAGTACAGCCCGAAACATCGTTGAAGAACGTTAAGTTCTCCTACTTTGTTACTTGCATCCTGCAACAAGCAAAACGCAAGATAAATACATACATACGGAATTTACCCTAGTACTGTCAATTATTTACAAATACTACTGTTTTGCGCCAATTAACTGCTGTGCTACGCATGTTAATTACTTGAATGATCTGATACCTAGTTCTGTTATTCCAAGTGCCACCCATTTAAAAATAAATGGTACATTACGCTAATAAAAAAAATATTATCACATTAGTACAACCTT